ATTCACTAGAAAAGCAGAACAAAGGAAATAATCCCATTTGTGGGGTGTTTTAGCAGGAGCAAAACCCTCTTGCCCTTAGCTCAGTTTTTCTCTGTAAGAACTTTGTTGTTTTGCCTTTTATTAAAACTTTTTCAGTTTCCAACACTACCCCAGAAGCCATCCTGCTGGTTTGATGGCATTCAAAGTGGCTGAGCTAGCTCGGGTGCAATAAGTTCTCTAAAAGCTCACAGGACCTAACTCAAAAGAGAAAACCATCATCCCTGGGCTGGTCCCAAGGCTCAGCACGGTCCTGAGGTGCCCCAGGGGTGTGACCTGGGTGTCACAGCTGCCCGTGCTGGCCCTGCCTTGCAGATGAGGAACGAGTTCACCATCACGCACGTCCTCGTCCCCAAGCAGCTGGGGGGCCCCGACTCGTGCACCACGGAGAGTGAGGAGGAGCTCTTTGTCATCCAGGACCAGCATGGCCTCGTCACCCTGGGCTGGATCCACGTGAGTCCCCAGCCCCAGGGAAGGGCTGGCAGGGAGTGGCCACAGCCTCTGCTTCGCTCTGGGGCAGCCTCGTTCCCTGCTCGGGTGGGGAAAGCCAGGCCTGGGTAATTTTGGGTCCCTTCTAAAGCATCAAGCTCTTTGAGAGGGAAAGAGGAAAGGTTTAGATGAGATACTGAGAAGAAACTCTTCCATGTGAGGAAGGAGGAGAGGTTTAGATTAAATACTAAGAAATTCTTCCCTGTGAGGAAGGAGGAAATGTTTAGATGAGATACTGAGAAGAAACTTCCCTGTGTGGGAGGAAAGGTTTGGATGAGATATTTGGGAAGCTCTTCCCTGTGAGGAAGGAGGAAAGGTTTGGATGAGATATTTGGGAAACTCTTCCTTGTGAGGAGGGAGGAAAGGTTTGGATGAGATATTTGGGAAACTCTTCCCTGTGTGGAGGGAGGAAAGGTTTGGATGAGATATTTGGGAAGCTCTTCCCTGTGAGGAGGGAGGAGAGGTTTGGATGAGATATTTGGGAAACTCTTCCCTGTGTGGAAGGAGGAAAGGTTTGGATGAGATATTTGGGAAGCTCTTCCCTGTGAGGGTGAGGAGCCCTGGCCCAGGTGTCCGGAGCAGCTGTGGCTGCCCCTGGGTCCCTGGCAGTGCCCAAGGCCAGGCTGGAGCCCCCAGGGACAGTGGGAGGTGTCACCCCATGGCAGCAGTGACACTGGGTGGGCTCTAAGGTCCCTCCAACCCAACCCATTCTGGGATTCTCTGGAGCTGCCATCTCAGACACGAAGCTCCCATTTCCTGCAGCTGAAGCCAGCCCTGGTGGCTCTGTGGGGACACCCCTGGCTGCTCTCCTGGAGGGACACAGCTCCAGCCCTGTGAGCTGTGCCAGCTGCAGGCTCCTCCCTGGCTGTCCCCACGGAGCCCCTGGGATCCCTGCCAGGCCAGGCTGAGCAGTCTCTGGAAAGCAGCAGCTGCCTGAGGCCTTGGGCACGGCCATGGTGCTGCAGCACTGCCCAGCCCCTCAGGGCTGTCCCCTGTCCCTGTGCAGACCCACCCCACCCAGACAGCCTTCCTGTCCAGCGTGGACCTGCACACCCACTGCTCCTACCAGATGATGCTGCCAGAGTCCATCGCCATCGTGTGCTCCCCCAAGTACCAGGAGTGAGTCTGGGGGGCCAGGAGGGGCTCTGGGGGGCCAGGAGGGGCTGTGGGGCGCCAGGAGGGGCTATGGGATCCCAGGAGGGGGTGTGGGGGGCCAGGAGTGTGGGTTGGGATCCATGGGACGGGATGGGATGGGGATGGGTTGGGATCGATGGGATGGGATGGGGATGGGGATGGGATGGGATATGGGAGATGGGATGGGGCAGGATGGGCCTGCAGAGGCTGCAGAGCTGCTGTTCTTGCTGCAGGACAGGGTTCTTCAGGCTGACAGAGCATGGCCTGGAGGAGATCTCATCCTGCCGGCAGCAGGGGTTCCACCCACACCCCAAAGAGCCCCCTCTGTTCACAGTGAGTGCCCTGGGGAGGGGGTGGCTGTGCTGGCTAAACCCACCCTGAGCTGCTGGGCTGGGGCAGGCAGGCTCAGCCTGGCAGGGGCTGCTCTGCAGGAGCCTCCTGAGGTTCTGCAGGAGCAGGGCCAGGCAGCAGCCCAGGGCTGTTTGGGGTGGGGATCTGTGTCTGGGGCCTGCCATGATCCCCCTGTGGCTCCAGGCAGGGCCAGCAGTTGGAGTGGTGCAGGAGCTGGGCCCAGGGGCTGTTCTGGGTCAGCTCAGGTTGTGTCAGGAGATGGGGACACCTGAGTAACCCCTGTGCCCCCCTGTCCTCTCTTGCAGAGCTGCAGCCACGTGTCCGTGGTGGAGAGGGACGTGGTGCTGCTGGATCTCCGATAATCCTCCGGCCTTGCCCCTCTCAGGAGCCACCCAGCTCCCCCAGGCCCTTTAGGGACTCTTCTCCTCTCCTGTAGCAGATGATTCCCACCACGATCCCTCCCTGCCTCCCTCACACCCCTGGGAGCCCTGGGCCCTCAGTACCTGCTCCAGTGGGCTCCAGGTGTGGGGAGAGGCCAGCTGGGAGCTCAGAGCCAGAAGCCAACACTAAAGCCCTTGTTCAACTCTAACCCACGGCCTCCTGGGGAGGTTCTCTGTGACTTGCTGCCACCCTGAGGTGTGGAAACCTCTTCAAGTGCTTTTGGGACTTGTCCCCTTTGACCCCTGCCCTGTTTTGTCCCCGTTCTGGGCTGCTGGAGGAGCTCCCAGGAGCAGATAAACCTTTCCTGTGGTTTAAACCCAAACCTGAGCCCCACACCAGCTCAGGGCTCTTTGTGTCTGCCTGGGGAGGGGAGAGGGGCCCAAGGGATCCTTTGGGACCCCTCTGTCAGCATCTCAGGGCTGCAGATCCCTGGATGTGGCCCTGCTTTGCAGCCCAGCTGTGGTTAGGGATGTCTGGGCACTCATCCCTTTTTCCTGGCCTGGTGTTACCATGGAGGAGCTCGGTGTGGCTGCCACCACCACTCCAGGATGGAATTCCAGCAGCTCTGACCACTTCATCCCAGTCCAGGATGGGATTTCCAACAGCTTGTACCCTCCCATCCCACTCCAAGATGGAATTCCAGCAGTTTGACCACCCCAGTCCCATTCCAAGATGGGATTTCCAGCAGCTTTGGCCACTTCCCTGCTCCCAGCTCCCGGTGCCCTGTGCACACCCCAGAGCTGCACAAAGCCTGGCTTAGCAAGCCTGGCCTGGCCAAAGCCGAGCTCAGCCCCTGTGCAGGACCCTCCTGGAGGTGCTTTGGTCAGGTGCCAAGCCCAGACTCTCCTGGCTGGCCCTCAGGGGGAGGGAAGCAGCAGAATCCAAGGTGGCAAAGGGGAGGGAATCATTCCAGGGTGGCAAAGGGAGAGAAGGGAATCATCCCAAGGTGGCAGAGAGAGAGGGAATCGTTCCAGGGTGGCAGAGAGAGAGAAGGGATTCATCCCAAGGTGCCAGAGGAAGAAAGGACTCATCCCAAGGTGCCTGGCAGCTGTTCCACCCGTGCTGTTGTCCCCAGCAGCGTGGGATGTTCGGCACATGGGGAAGGGGCTGGAGCTGCCCTCCCTCCCACCTGCCATGCAAGCAGCCCCGGCCTTTGTGTCTGGCACACATGGATGGGATTATCCGGGCTGGGTTTTCCCCCCTTCTCCCGGAGCTCTCGGTGGGCCGGGCTCTGCCCCGGGGGGATCCTTTCCTTTGGGCTCGCCGCCTTTGCGTGACAGCGCCGCTGCAGCTTGTCCCCAGCCCCTTTGGGAACAGGCTGGCCCCGGGCTGGGACGGGAGGGAGGAGCCTTTAGGGCATCGCTGGGAACTCGTTTCCAGCCCTAATTAATTGAAGCCGTGCTCGGGAGGGGGTGCAGATTCCGTGGTGTTCATCCCACAGCTCCTCACCCCGAGTGGGGGCACGCCGAGTGGAAAATCCCATCCTGCAGGGCAGCAATTCCTTCAGATCCCTGGGGATTCATCCCAGCTCCACTCCCAGGTGTCAGCTGGCTCAGGAGAGGAGCTGGTGGCACATCAGCGCTTTTGTGCTGTTTCAGTGACTGGTGAACCCTCCCAGGGAACTTTCCTTGGGCCGGGGAGTTCCTCAGGTCAGGATCTGCTGCCACTGAGCTCCCAGCGCTGCTCCCTGAGCTCCCAGCCCTGCTCCCTGAGCTCCCAGCCCTGCTTCCAGCCCTGCTCCCTGAGCTCCCAGCTCTGCTCCCTGAGCTCCCAGCGCTGCTCCCTGAGCTCCCAGCGCTGCTCCCAGTGCTCCCAGCCCTGCTCCCAGCGCTGCTCCCTGAGCTCTCACCTTTTCCATCCCACTTTCCCACCCCAGCTCCCTGAACCCTCACTTTGTGTGTGTCAGTGAACGTCACTATCCAGGCACTGCTGCCCGGCCTGGCTCTCCAGCTGTGCCAGATGTGACTGTCACACCTTAAACCCACCCAAGCCTGGGATGGGTTTGGGAGGAGCTCAGCCCGAGGATAAACCAGGCTCAGGGATTTATTGCCTGTGTGTTCTGGGGGGGTCCCGCGGGCAGGGAGCTACGGGTGATGCTTATCTCCACCTCAGCACGGGGAGCGCATCCAGATCTCTCTTTTCACGCCTTTTGCCCTCCCTCAGCAGCATCCCCGGAGCTCCCAGGCTCGAGCATTCCCCGCGCGGGCGGTGCCGGCCCCGGGGCTTCGGTCCCTGTGCCTGGGGGGATGCCTGGCGTTCCTGCGAGCATCCCGGGCCCGCCGGGGCCGCGGGATTGGCTGCGGGGGCCAAACCTTTCCTTTTTAGGCTGCGCCCGGCTCCGCTCGGGGCTGCGCTGCCGCCGGCCCCGCTGCGGCCCCGGCCGGCCGGGGATGCTCCGGGATCCCCCCGGGCTCGGGGATGCTCGGGGATGCTCCGGGATCCCCCCGGGCTCGGGGATGCTCGGGGATGCTCCGGGATCCCCCCGGGCTCGGGGATGCTCGGGGATGCTCCGGAGCTGAGCCAGCCCCAGCCCGGGGGATGAGTCTGGGGGTGCCCAGGGGGCTCGGGGGTGTCTGTGGGGTTTGGGACGTGCCCCTCTCTGCCTGGGGTGGGATGGGGTCCTGCCACCGCCTCTCTCCACTCGGTGCTGCCTCCATGCCCCCCGTGCCCTCCCCACTCTGCTGGGTTTGGGGTTTAATTCATTTTCAAGGGTTTTTTCCATGTTATGGCAGCCTCTCCCCTCGTGATCTCGTGTTTGGCGCGGACGCAGCCGGGCTGGGTGTGAGGTGACAGCAGGACCCGGGGCTGGGGGACACCAGGGGCAGGGCCAGGGGACACATCCAGCCCCTGTGAGCTGCTCCACGGGGAAAGGGACCCGGCAGAGCCATCCCTGGGGACCCTGGGGCTGTGGATGGGCTGGCAGTGCTGGGGACACCCCATGGGTGACAGCCCAGGGCCCATTCCCTCCCTCCGGAACCATGGGGGGGACACCAGGACCTTTGTGTCCCTGCTGTGGTGACAGCTCCTGCTCACTGCTCCAGTGCTGGGATGTCCCTGCCCCGGGCACAGCTCAGGACCAGCCTGGGCCTGCTGTGCCTCAGTTTCCCTGGAGCCCTCGGGGGCGTCTCTGCTGCCTCCCCCGGGTGCTCCCTGCTCAGGGCCCGTTGTCCTTAAAAAGGCAGCCGGGAGTTGGGAGCCTCTGGTTGGGCTCTGCCAGGGCTGGGGGTGGCCCCGGCTGTGTCCGGGCTCGGGGACAGCCCCCACCGTGTCCCTGGGGGGCTCTGAGCTGATCCCCCCTGCAGAATCCCCCCGGCAGGGGCCAGACCCGGGCTCGCCCTCACTGCAGGGTCGGCACTGGGACCCACAACCCCTGGGCTGGCTCAGGCCGAGCATTTGGGGCTTTGGGACAGCAAAAGCCCA